TTTATTACATTTAAACAGTAGATCAAGGGTATATAAAACTTGAACATAGGAACAAGAAAGGCCATTTTTTTTTCAGCAGTAGCTGTAACGATAAATCCCAGCTGTACATTTCATTGATTCCCTTTATTTCTCATTGACTCCAAACAATAGAGTTGCAGGAGCAGTTGGAGTCACTGATCAGAACAGTTTTGCCCTGAGCGTCGATAAAATAGTTCATTTGAGATTGTGATTGTGCTGCCATTGACACTTCGTCTTGGCAAATACTGATCCTATCAGGAAATTTCAGTTCCAGGCCATCAAGCTTGGAAATGAGATTGTAGATCACGTCACGTCTTTTTTGCAGTCAATAACAATCACTGCAGGTAATCGTACCACTGCCTACCCAGATGTATTTATTTGACCCTTTCTCTTTAATAGATTTTACACTGATGCTAAAAAAAAATAAAGCATTTTTTTCAGACACCAGTCATTTTATTTTTTTGTGAATAATACAGTAGCAATGTACCACTCAGTCCATCTAAATTTTAAAGAATTTATAAAGTATGAAGAATGATTGAGTCTGTAGGCTAACAGTAAAAAGTCTATATTTTTCACACCTTATCTATACATGTAGTTGAGCGTGAAAATGTATTTAAAAAATTATTTAGGAATAACTGAGATATCAAGTTAGTTAAATAAGGAAAACAGTAAGCGTTGAAACATGAATTAGTGAATTATAGACGAAATTCAAAAATCTTATGGCATTCAATGCTTTAAACAAAGCCTGTCTCTCGAAAAGCTAATTGTAGTCATCATGTATTTTGTATTGCTGACATTATAAGAGGGGTTTACTCACTAAACTGGAAAAAATTGGGAACTGAAGGAAAATTTATCTTTTTTTTTTTTTTTGTGGGGGGGGGGGCAAACAATATTTTGTAATTATGTCTATAATGTAATACATGACTTGTTGAACACCAGTAAATTATATTCTGGATTTAGAACAACAAATATGTCTATGAGGGTAAAGTGCAGGCTGTCAACTTAACTTTGACTCTATTTACACAATAATTCATAAGCTGTGCTAGAATTACCGTCCACGTTGGACACTATTCCATCTAATGTTGGGGAATAGACGTAACTGGGCATTGGCTGGTTGTTTCTTGGCCAGGTGTGTGCCATTTCCTTATTAGTAGAGTCAACAACGCCACTATACCTAATTGTAGATGTGATATTTGAATTTAAACTTGGTTGTTTCTTGACATGAAGAAGAAAATGGCAGAAAAGCAGGTATTTTTGAGGCCGAACATTCTTAAATAGTGACTCTAGTCGACACTGTGACTATAGGTTTCAAAACTAAACCTCACCAAATGTAAATCCCTCTCTATGATAAAAGAATTGCTTCCGTTATTCACACACTATCACGGGTGTCTTCACTTAAGAGAAAATTCAAAGTGTATTTAAATTTTAAGATCAAAAAAGCTGAACTGGGAAAATTCTCTACGTAACCTTACTCTGGCTGAATTTGATTAAAATGAGAAAAAAAATCTCCTATTGAAAACAATGAGGTGAAAACAATGACATATTGAGAAAATATACTGTAAAAATGCAAAAAATCCCATGCGTTAAAAGCTTGGGGCTCCAAAGCAATCCTTTGAATAACTTACAAAATGATTAATGCAATAGCTAAATAGACATAAATAGTAGCAAACTAATAATGTAACAGGAAGGTTTAGGCAAACATATCTAACTTGTAAGAATTCTTCAACTCAGTGAACGTCACAGCTTGGCTATTATAGCCTCAGTTTTGCAATTTAGATTTGAATTTACGTATACTCAGTGTTTAGTAAATAAACCCCCACAGACTTTTTATGGTATAAGTTTTTTTTTTTTTTTTTAGGGAAAACCTCCACTTCATAAATGTTAAAATAAAATAAAACACACATAATACATTAGTAGTTTGTAAATGCAAAAAAAGACTTTAAAGAATCATTTCTTTTAATGAATTGACAAGTTGACTATTCTGGTTTTAAACTACAAACAGGGAGAAGATAGCTTACCCGTCCATGGATTCCTGAAGGTAATTTCAATATAGGCTTGAATTAGAATGTTGACTCGGTCAGTTTAAACACTGTGGCAAATGTGTGACCAGACAACAAAAAACATTTCAACATTTGTCTTGTTGTGGAAAGCAATGCAAAACACATTTTAGACCATTAAATCTCACTTTTTGCACAACCATTGATTTTTATGTTTTTCAAATCTCTCTACCAGGGAGCTGTTTCTCTCTTCTTCTGTTTCTCTGAAGAGGAAATGGAAAATCCCTCCCAACCCACCTCTCCACTAGGAGAACATTTTCCAGTCAGCATTATATCTGTATTTCAGTAGCTCTGGAGGGGATATGAGAGGGGTATCAGGTCACTGGATACAGTGGGAGCTTTTATTTAGGCTGCATGAGCCGCCTGTAATTCCCCTAGAATGATGCAAAACTTAGTGTAACTTTACTTACTGTGCCCAAATGCATTATTTTTATGTTATTTAATTTTGGTAAGTGATGAAGGAATAAATACAGAATTAATTATCTTTTCAAAATATTAGGTGTGCCTGGAGAAAAAAAAATATATAAACAAAATAACTGCTTCTTTATGTTTCTGGCTAACTATGATTCCCATGTTTCGCATATCAATTCATGCAATTTTTTGCAAAATTATTTTTATTACTAAGTTCAAAAGCAAGAAGCAAAGCATTCATTGATCACAATATACATATTTATACACCCCTATTTCTGAAAATATATTTTATAGATATATAAGATGGTAAAAAAAATCCAAGTATTTCAACATACAGAAACCTTAATGCTATGCCTACATTAGGTCTCAATGCAGACTAGAGGCCCAACGTAGATTAAATTCTTTAACATGGTTTATTAGTGTCGTTTGGCGAAAATCTAGAATAGCATCAAACTCAAATGAGCATAGATCAGAAAAACTCAAGGCATCTACTGTACAGCATACAATTCAATATTAACTCAAATAGAGCTTAAAATAGTATCTTAGACAAAATATTTCCAGCTGGGAAGCCCATCTTGTGAAGGCTACCTCACAGACCATCTCCATGCATGCCATCTGTTAGGTTGTGCTATGTTTATTAACACAGACAACCTGGCACTGACTGGGTTAATATACCCTTCAATCATTTGCATGGTTGATATGTCGGCCAAGCAAGCATTACTGAAACAAATTAGAACACTTGCCAGTCCAATCTCTAAATTACTTCAACTATTTTTAATTTAATTTTTTTGGGGGGTTGTTGCGTTTTATTTTTCTTTTAGAGGGAACCCAGAAATAATTCAAGAATTTGAGTTTTCAACAACAAACTGATCCATAATTGCTCAATAATACAGTTTTATAACTCTCTAATATTTTTTTCTATATATTATTATATAATATTTCTGTTAATATTCGTCTGTGCTCTGCACAATTTTCCATTGCCATCTAACCAGTAACAGCCATTCCATTTCTGCAAATAATATTTCTGTTTCTGAGCTGCACTTCTATTACCTTCATGTTGTATTAGCATATCTATTTATTTTTGGGTCACAGTATAATGCTTTGTTATAGATACCTTGCTGTGTACACATCAATGAATGCACTGCACTATGTTTTCTCTATACCTGTTCCATTCTCTCTGCATTGATCAGTAATCTATAAAGTCATTCATAGATCTCATTTTTTGTCAGTGTTTTTCTTCAATATATTCCTTTACCGCTACAATCAACAAATTAAAATATATTCCTCATTGCCCTACAGTCTGTTACTTATACTCTGTTGAAGTGCAGACTTTACACTATGCACAGGCATTCTTCTGTATTGTGAAATTTAATTATTAGAAGAAATCACTGTGCTCAGCATTTGCAATTTTACAAAACTGCATCACTTTCTCTGCATAACTTTATAATGTGTTTTAGAGTTATTTTAATGCTTTTTATTTATCTGTTTACAATTGATTTATTTACTCTAATTTTCAGGTGTTTACAGATACACCTGTCTGTATAGCCTGTTCAGAGGTCCAGAATCGCTTTTTTGTCTTTTGTCTTTTTTCGGTATAACCTTTTCATATATTTCCACACTTTTCTTTTGTTTGTGCCCGATCCTTGTATTTGTCTCCAGTGCAGTAAATCATATTTGTTTGTGCACTATCTTTCTTTATCAATCGCAGTGCCACGTTAGTCACAACCCCTAATCTTATTTCACTATGACATAAAGATACAGTAGGTTCCTTTTTTGGGAATTTATTAATTAAATGAGAACTTAAATAAAATTTGCAAAAAAAATTAAAATTTCTGGCCAATGTAGCACCAATAGAAGACAGCTGAGCAAGGGAATATTTTCAGTTATGTTAGGCGAAATTTAGAATACCCTTTTCGATCCTATCTATTTACCTGTCTATTCATTAAATCCCCTTGTTTGGTATTTCTTTCTCTAGAGGTGCTATCAGCTACCACTTTGCCATCGACTGCATTATATGCTATGCATTTATCGTGACTTTCCCATATTTTTGTTAATTTCATTGTTGTTGGAAATTATCAGTTAGACTTTGTTTGTGACATCTGAACTTGTTTGTTTAAGAAAACAGTGACATGTAAAAAATAATACGGATGTATATAGGTGATTGTACACAAGAATTACTCAAAACAAATAATTTATAAACCATTCTTGATGAAGAATATTGTGCACACATAATACGTAATACAGTGAAATATATATATTTATATAAAAATGTTTATTGTATATCAGATTGTGCAGTGTTTTATCTGTTATATTACATATATTAAACTGGAAATACATACTGTGACAACAAAAATACTATATTGTACAAATACATTTTTAAATAGAAAGTATAGCCTTAAAATAAGTGGTTCACTAATTTCTTGTCAACAATAGTCTCTTAGGATAATGCAATGTTAGCACGACTCTACAACTTGCAGAACACTTTTGTGACACTATGATATATTTGTGTTTTATCTGCAATATCTGTTATATCTTGTGTTTATCTTATGTTGCAAAATTTGGTTTCAAAACTTATGAAAAAAAAAACACGCATAAACGTGTGATAGAAATGGCAATCAAACCCGTTCATAAACATTTTTTAAGCCTTTTAATCCTGAAAAGATTGTTGTGTTAATTTATCTGCAGTCTACAACAATCTGCTGTTCCACCCAAACTTATTTGTTTTAAATGTGCTTCATCTCGTTCTCCATTCACAGCAGTTGTGCAACATCCAGATTTATAAAAAGTAGAAAGGACAGAGTATGGTAAATTATTGACTGACCTGTCCAAAACATTTCAATTAATACTGAATTTGGGCACCGAGGCTTTTAGATTAGTTGGTCGCTCTTACCTGATCTTCTAAGGAGGTTATGATTAGAACCTTAAAAATAGCATGATTTGGGAAAAAAGGTAGTTAAACCTTAAAAAACAGCATACATCAAATAAAACGCAGACAAAGGTTGGTGAATTTAAAGAATGTACTAAACAGTTTTCAGGTGAAATATCAGCCATGACAAATTTAGGAGAAACATCAATAGTGCCTTCAATCCCATTAGTTTTAAAATAAGAGATATCCAAGTCATCTTCACGAAATCCAGTGTGTTAACGTGCACGTTTAAAGCCTTTTCTTCGTTATATTGTATTTATAACTTACATCTATGTGGTGCTCTGCTGTATCTCTTAGTTTTAATCCATATTATTGGGGTGCTGTCAAAATGTCTATCTTTGATAAAATCCAGCATGGTCTCCTCTAGAATTGGATAATGAACTTTAAAAGTGCATTATGCTGTTATCACCTTCGTGTCCTCATTGTCTCCAGCAATCCTCGTTCTAACTAATAATCTATGTCCAAGCATTGTGCTGGGCATAGGTTTATTGTCCATCTCAGACTCGGTGTTAATATCACAGGCTGCAAAAAACCACTGCCTCATTGGTTTAAGAGATTTTTTTTTTCCACACGTATTGTTGTTACACATGGTTTTCAGAGCTATAGAGGCCAACCCACTTTAAATTCACTGCTTTGTACCGTACTGCATGAGGAGTAATTTATAAAGGGATCACTATTCTACCAAATGTTTGAAAAGCCTGCATTGTAACAGCCTAATGAACCGTGCATTTGTAGCTTAGAGCAGCTCTAGAGAGACAAAGAATGAAACAAGTCTAGAAAAATATAAATGTCAAAGCGGCTACACATAAACACATAATTGCAAAGTAACGTTAGCTCGGTGAAAGCTGAAACATCGTTATGGAATCACATGTCCGCACAGTGAGAAACAATCCTGAAAAACTGTAACAAATTGCAATCATTTTCATTCTACTAAAAGGTTATCAGAATCATTGACTAACGTGAGAATTGTCAGGAATTAAAAGTGAATTCAGAGGGAATTTTAAACTTAAGGCCAAAGCAGCAAAACTGGATGCACAGCTGACTTGGAAAATTTTTGCAGTTTGACTATTTTGTCTTTAACATTGAACTTCACTTTAAATCTCCAAACAACTTTCGCTTAATTGAATAATATATATATATAATGTATATGTTATATAGAGAGGACTTCCCAAGAAGAAATAATATTAATACATGTACAAACACGTTAATATTTCTAATGTACGTTGAAGAAGGGGCTCCAAGGATTTTTTTTAACATGTTCACAGTTCTATTGAAATTATGAACGACTATTAAATTCCACACATTTGTTTAATTTTTTTTTTAGTTTGGCTATTGTGGAAGAAAATTTCAAATCGGCTTTAAATTTACATTGAATTCCTAAGAATTCATTCTTTGGTGTATGCACTTGATTCCATCCCAGGACAAACTAAAGTCACGGAAACCCACCATGGCACGCCATTTTTATGAATGTAAAATTTTTAAGATTCAAGTGAAACTGGAAAATATTTGGGAGCAAAAAAATATGTATTTGGATGATGTAAAATGTATTTTTAATAATATTATTTTTGTTGTTATTTTTTAGCTACAAGCATTAAATCAATTCACCAAGCTGGCATTTCCGATGCATTACAACTGCAATACAATATATTCAATAACAATAAAATGTAAAAAAATATAATAAAGACTATAAATTTAATATTTAAAGTTCCTGCTGTTGCTGTACATAGATGCCATAGATGCCCAACATAACTTATTATATTCTAACATTACAGTTGAGTCTAACCTATTAAAGGGACTCTGTCACTATTAACGTTTTGTTTTTAAATTAATTCTTTTTTGTCCTTCTTTTTGTCCTTGTTTTTATTTTTCCAATTCACCTTTGTTTTTTAAGTTATATATAAGAAAAAGTCAGGACTACTTTTTCTCATGAGAAGCGTGATCTTTGCCAATTTTTGGCAAAGGGGCGGCTTAAGCAAAGTTCCATTTTGGTTTCTAAGCTGATTTAGCCACAATCCATCAGTTGAAAGAGTCCCACAGAATGGAAAATTGCAGACAGAGAGGAAAGAAGGAGGCACCCAAGGATTGAGATCCTGCATAAGGATAATAAACAGATTTGTGCCGGTAAGAAAATTCAGCCCGGCCAAAACTTTATTTTTTTTTAAAAACATGGCACTGTCCCTATAACAGTTACGCATACAAAGCAGCAATACTGCAGATACCTAGAGTGAAGTGAATTGGGGCATTTTTCTTCTCACTGAGCATTCTAGAATTGACCTGTTAAAGTTCTGGGAGAGCAATGAAATGCAATGCTATTAACCCTTCACATGCCGCTCCCTGAGTATTCCATGTAAGTGAAGTATTTTATGTAAGCAATACCTGCAGGATGTTACATTTACTGTCTGTGCATCTAACACAAATAGATTCACCCATGAGTGTGCTAATATAGCACCAAACAGTGATTTAATTAAGCACCAAACGGTTACTTAATTAGGGTTTTGTATTAATTAGTATTTTCTATACTAAGTATTACATAACTATATTTACTTTGTTTTTCGGGTACAGCTGCATTTTAAGAAACAATGAGCTGAAAATGTTTATTCAGTTGAAATGTAATAAGCTAAGTTCTAAAGCCACTCGACTTGTGATCTGACGAAGCTAATGCTCATCTCATCATTTGTGAGAGTGCTACGTCAACTTACTATATGTAACTTTTCCATTTAGAACAGAAAATAGTAATGCCAAAAATTGTATGTGATTTTGTTAAAATTTTTGGTCTTACTTTTTAATTTATTAAAACACATAAGGATATAATTACACATTTAAAGTAAACTAATGCTTTTTGCAGAGGTTATGTTGCAAGGATTCCCCCCTGTCTCCCTGCACTAAATTGGTTGAAACTGCAACACTTTGCAAACATTCTAACCTACTGCCTTCTGTCTGTCCAAGTATTTGCACAGTATGAACACACTATGTTATCCTTCCCTGACTTGTTTCTTTAAAACTTATGAAGGAGCCTGGATTGGGTCTGCACGTGCACAAGTGTGTTTGATAGCTCATTTTATGAAACTTTGACTAAAGCTGACAGCAGGCTAAATGCACATGCAATTTTTTATTTATTTATTACTGGCATTTATAAAGCGCCAACATATTCCTCAGCGCTGAACAATTAGGAAAAAGACAATACATTATAAACAGACCAATATAAAAGGTAGAGCTTACAATCTAAAAATGGGGAGATGAGACAAGAGGTAGCAATGGAATTTATAGGTGATGGCAGAGAGAATTAATCGTATTATTACGGTAACTGATAACATGTGAAGGGAATGAGGAGGTGATTGACTGTGGTTCCAAACTGCTAAAAGAGCATGCTATGTAGTTGGAAAAAAACAGAGTGAGCTGGAGGAGGGGCGGGTGGGTGGATGGGTTAAACCCGAGTAGAATTGAAGAGGCTTGTTGCAGAGATGGATTGGGGATTGGACCTTACAGTTGCAGGGTTCAATTGAAGAGGCTTGTTACAGAGCTGGTTCAGGGATTGGACCTTAGAGTTGCAGCAGCTCCATTATTTTTTCTAATGAATAAAATTGTTACCAGGTGCTTTTTACTTTTATTTTTAAGGTTCATAATGCCCCCTACCATTTTCCAATTCTCTGATTAATGCATACTTTTAGGATCATATTTACAAGGAGCAGACTGGACAGTTTCTTAGATACACCTCTCTTATTTGGCAAGTCATGTCACCATTTAGATCAAAGTAACACAAATGCATAACAAAGAAGAATACATTTCAGAATACAAGGTAAGCCATGGGATACAGGAAGCAGATCTCTGGCCTTTAAGATACTAGGAGAAGGTCTGTGGACTCTGGCCTTCAGGATAACGAGGGCAGTTCTCGTGGACTCAGACTTACAAAATACATTGTGCAGACCTCTTGACTTTGGGGTACAAAGAGCTGGCCTGTGGGCTCTGGCCTTCAGGATACAAAGCAAAGTCCTGTGTACCCTAGCCTTCAGAATACAAGGATATGGGCTGTGGATTCTGGCCTTTAGAATACAAGGATATGGGCTGTGGACTCTGGCCATCAGGAAACAAGGAGATGGCCTGTGGACTCTGGCCATCAGGAAACAAGGAGATGGCCTGTGGGCTCTGGCCTTCAGAGTATAAGGAGATGGTCTGTAAACTCTGACCTTCAGGATACAAGGAGACAGTCTGTAGACTGTGGCCTACAGGACATAGGTAGCAGGCCAATGGATACACAGATGGGAGTAAACAACCACATATGAAACTAAGGACCAATCAGAAATCAATGACCTGGCAAACGTGAAGGGGAAAGGCTGGACTAAATAGGAAGGTAATTAAAAATGTAGAGCTAGATTCAGTTTCTGGTAGCAGTCTAAGTGCAGCTGCCTGCAACAGCAACACAGTAAAGGAGGAGACTATATTTAAAAGAAGAAAAACTACCGCAACAAGAGGACATAGTCTTGAATTAGAGGGACAAAGGTTTAAAAATAATATCAGGAAGTATTACTTTACTGAGAGGGTAGTGGATGCATGGAATAGCCTTCCAGCTGAAGTGGTAGAGGTTAACACAGTAAAGGAGTTTAAGCATGCGTGGGATAGACATAAGGCTATCCTAACTATAAGATAAGGCCAGGGACTAATGAAAGTATTTAGAAAATTGGGCAGACTAGATGGGCCGAATGGTTCTTATCTGCCGTCACAATCTATGTTTCTATGTTTCTAAGTTAGTGGCACTGTGAGGTACTGCACCAGACTGAAGAGAAAATCAAGCCGTTCACATTCAACCCTCTTCTATCTTGCCATTATTGTAAATCTTTACACATTGTTCTATAATAAATTAATAAATTAATTTTAAAAATATTGAAAATTCGAGTGCTCTGCTGACTGCAAGGCTGGTGACATCACTGAGGGACAGCAGATACATCAATGTTCTTGTTAGCAAACCGTCGTACCTGCTGTGACTTACAAAGTGTTACTTAGTATAGGAAGAAACAGGACATCAGAGAATATTGTTTGTACAATAATACGTTAAACATTAAAATAGAGACATTCGAAGATTCTAACGTTTATTAGTAAACAAGTGTAATGTACATTCATTTATGTCCTTACTGCTTCTGGATACATTTCTGGGTTTAGCACAAAATAAATAAAATTTATGGCTAGTTTTTAATCACTAACATTTTTATATTGTTTGCAAAATCCTGATTTATAGAGATGCAGATGTGGCTGACAATTGTCCCAGTTTTTTGAAGGGGTAAATTGACATTTTCCTTAAGGGAATGAAAAGCTTTGGCAACTTCCCTTTTGGCATTGCGGATAGTGTATGGCACAACGTCACATAACGTGCACGATTTTCTTTTCACTCATTAAACTCAGTGAACCGGTGCACTCTCATGCTGTTCCAGTTTTTCCATGACTGACTGTTTAACATCTACATCTGTGCAATAAGAAGCTGTTTTAATGTGTGCATATACGTCCTGAGTAATGTTTCTCAATACAGATTAAACATTGACCTACATTAACAGTGCTAAGTGTAATCAGAAAACCAGAGAGTTCAGCTCAGTTGATGGATATAAGTCATAGGTCTGCTCTCTCTGTAGATACAAATGTATCATTTGCAATTGGCAGATCCAGTTTTCAAATCCCATTCTGCAGGTGACATCACACCCTGCATTAAAAAAAAATCTTGATTATGTGCAATGTAGACTCTTTGTAGCAGACTGACTCATTGCAGCACATGGATATGCATGTCCTGGGTTACGTGAGATTAATGGGAGTAAATTGATTCATTTATTCACTCTTGAAACCAATATGTCAGCTGTAATTCTCTCTCCCCAGCTCCCATCCTGGCATATCCACAAAGATAGAGAGGCTGAATATAGACAACATATATAATGCTGAAATAACCAGATTTTAGAGACAAATTATAAACCACTAGACGTTCTATTTTGTGTTTTTTCCTTAATGCAAACTTCATTATTACCTGTAGATTGAAAGCTGGTTTGCACAGGGCCTACTTTTACTGTAAGTCAGTCATTGTGTGCTATTATTAAATGTTAATTTATTTATTGTACATCACTGCGGAATATGTTGGTGCCATATGAATAATTGTAATTGTAATGTGATTTCTCTCTCTTTATATATATATATAAAACACTCACAAACACACATATACAGCCTTTAAAACAGGAGTAGGTTATAGCATAAAATGTAATACTCTCCTATCTATAAAATACAATGATGACTATGATGACTATTATATGGGAAAATAATTAAATAATAACTGCGGCCCAAAAAAACCCAAAATGTTTAAAAACCACACTATATATTGAGTGCCGCTCTCTGAATAGCAATAATACTGTATACAAGTGTGACACATCCATCATATTACTGTCTAATACCGCTTCTTTGAAAAGAGCTGTAATAGTCTCAGCATGATACAGAATTGCTCTGGAGAAAAAAAAAGCTTATAAGAGTGAAAAAAGAACACACACACAGACACAAAAAACAAGAATGAGATGTGAAAGTGACCCTCAAGGTGACTGGGAAAACCACCCTGCAAACACTGCAGTACCTACCTAATTTCCCCCTCACCCCATCCACCACTTCACCACTAACATGTGAGAATTGGACCCACACATTCACATCATGCAATTGTATCCATTTCTTTCCACTCATATCCAAGGGACCTTTCACCTTGTGTCCATAATGTACTATGAAACTAATAAATATGAATAGAGGGAAGAGAATGTGTCTTTACATATATGTATGTGTATATATTATATATCATAGTATAATTTATATATAGAATGAATATTTGATTATATAATTCTATAATGATTTTTATATTCTGTGTGTAACTTTTCAGTACTATATAATGTATTGCTGCACACGAGCTATATCTCATTCCCCCCCAGTTGGAGAATCTCTGCATTCTGTGTGAGAGAATCCCAGTCTCCCTGACACCTATTCCATGGGGGCGTTAGTCTAACTTCTCACGGATCAGCTAGATTCTCTGTAAATGCAGTCTGTGCTCCAGCAATACGAGGTAGGTAAGTGACAGACCGGCTTAGCCATGAACTCCCCCTCCACCCCCAGCCCTGCACACATCTGTGTGAATTAGTTCTACATGCTGAGATCAAAGCCAGCCTGCACTGCAACATCCTCACTTCTATCTCCATCTGAATTCTCTGTTCTGTAAATCACAAACCATGTTTCCATTTTGTCAGATCTCTTTGTCAGGCACTGAGGTAGATTCGGTAATGTAACAATTTGCAGAATCCCACTTAATGCTACTTTTCTCTCTAGGCTGACTCACCAGTGACTGAACATCTAGCCATACAGTGCAGAGTACTGCATCCACTATATTGCACTTTGTAGAAGCTGTGATCAGGATCAATTTGTGCCTTCAGCACCCTGGACAGTCCCTGCACCTCATCTCCTGTGCGGATCTGCTACAGTGTATCTGATTCAGGACCCTGGACAGCTCTGTGTGCGTCTGATCTGTGGAGACTTGTATCACAGCACGGAGTCCACTTCAGCACTCTGGACAGCTCCTGTATATCTCCCATGCGAATTACAGACACTTTGGGGTCTTCTGTGTAAGAGGACTCAGGTCCCAGGCTGTGACCACTTAAAAGACAAACGATTTGGATAGCTGGGGCCGTTCTCAAAATCAACTCACCAAAAAGCATGGATTTCATAGGAGACACCACTATCCTAGGACTGCAACTATTCATTCTTCTTTTATGTAGGTATTTCTTCTTATTAAAACTGTTATTATTGTGCTGTTATAAATTACACAGTGATAAAGGGAATGTATGGATTCCAGAGTTCTGCATAATTTATATTAAATACTGATGGAATCTTTGTTTATTAAACCAGCAGGGCAGTGGATTTCCACTGACTGAGCTGATTAGTGTAGAAGTAACTGCATACTTCTGTCTACTTGTGGTTTGAATGGAGGTGACTGCAGGGTTGCTTAGCACTGTTTGATTTAAAACTCATGGTGAGAATTCTCTTTATCAGGTATGATGGGTCATAATGCTGCCGAACAAGAAGTCGAGAATCTCTCTGGCCTGTCTAGTAATCCTGAAAAAAATATATTTGCCATTCGAGAAAACGGGACAACGTGTCTAATGGCTGAATTTTCTGCTAGAATCCTTGTACCCTATGAAGTACCTTCCAGCAATGAAGTGGATGTGAGTCCTTATTTACTATAAGAGCAGTAACTGACTGTTTGTTCACATATTGCATGTTGTGTGGAACTGTTTCTGCCAGTAGGTAATCTTTAAAAATTCAAATGTTGACATGTGTTTTAAATGCCTGTGTTGCTAGGTAAAACTATAGAAAATGTAATCAATTCTGAGTTGCATGCTCTATTAATCTCATAAAATGTCTCTTATAGTCCACTGTATCTCTGGTTACTCTATCTAGAATGAATGAACACTCAGTATATGAGATATAGCTATATTCAGATCTCATTGTGTTTTGTGTGGCTATATGTGTGTCATAGTGGAATCCAGAAGAAGCGAACATTCAGTTGCCGAGAGATACGGATATAAAAGGAAAATGTTGGAGTAATGAGTCCGAGCTACATTTGTCCTGGGCAGACAATGCTTATACTCTAAAGCTGTTTTTCCTGAAGGTAATTAAACATGCAATTAATTTTGTGTAAATCAAGCATGGACAAACTTAATGATGTTTTCTGATTACATTGATTGTGAATAATATCCTCTAAGGAACTCAATGTATATAAACAATATTGGACAAAATAAACTTGTTTTCATCATTTTTTTCTTGAAATAGACTGAATTTTCCCACTAATTTTCACTGAAATTCTAAATTATAATTCCATCCTCCAGTTATTCCAATATATACTTCTATGAAGAGCTGGAAATTTGGTTTCCAGTAGTAGTCAAAGAATCCAAAAACATTTCACATATGTTTCAAATGTGACAAATAACTAGAATTTATCTGAATCTTCACTTAAATTATCTTCAAATTGGCAGGATTTAGAATTTCACTGTATGAATTCTTCCCTTATTTGTTTTACAAACAGGATGATCCAATGAAACCTTATTCCAATAACTGGAAAATAAATAAAGTCCAGTTTTCCTACGATGTTTCAGAGCGCACAAATTTCAAAACTGGAGCAAGACGTGAGTATTTAAACCCTATAATTTTGACACTTAATTACAATTTTCTTGCAAGATTGTGGATTCCACTAATACCTAGTTAATGCCTACTACTTCAAAGTCAATTCTCACCCCCATACCGTGGGCACATACATACAACACATCATATAATGTTAAACCAGGCCTGCTTGGCTTAGAATGATTTATGTTGCTGTTAAAACAAATATCTCTGCTTAATTTGTGAAACCCCACAATTACTGTATTAGCACAGGAGGGGATTTGGAGGGGGTGGGGGGGGGGTGGAAGAAGAAAATAGGAGCTTATATGGCCAGATGAAACATTAGCTGCAGTCGCTGACTCATTTTTGCAGTCGACTGCTGACGTATCACTGCCAGATGTTCATCTATTGCTGGCTACAATGCAGCTCTCTCTTTACTAACTGAGCTTTTCCATCTGTCTATATGTGAGGTGTATAGTATGTCCATGTCCTGTCTCTGCATTATATGATATAATCTTTAAAATCCACAGTGGTATCAGCATTCTTCTGAAGTGCTTATGGTTGCACAGTTACATTACATCTTTTGTGTGCCAGTGGAATAAACACACATGTAGCATACAAGGGGTTAACCACCTGCAGACACTTTGATTTCAAAGAACAAAACACCACCCATCAGGTGCAACCAGCCGAATTCAATCCAGAATGATGTCCCTATGAAATGTGAAACCAGTTATATTGTTGTAATGTCATACTGTTTTCTGTTGATAATTGCTATCTGTTGTTGTTATTTTAATTCATGATATATTTGTTATAAAATAAAGGTGTTTTGATATATTTAAAGTTTTTTTGAAAATGTTATTTATTTATTTTTAAAGTCATATCTTATAAATTATAGTAGGTAATACAAATGAAAAACAAGCGATAAACAGATTGTTGCTTGCCATGGCGGAGTTAGTACAATTTCAATTTAGAATTTTTGTGGTTCAATATTTCAACTGATTACATTTTGCAATTCCCTCTTATTGATGGTAGTTTGCAAATGATTAAAAGCTGATTCTTTGTTCTTTCATAGTTACGTATTGAAGCTTTAATACAATTATGTATATTTTTTTAGCTGGGAGGCACACTGCAAGCAGGCAACACCTTTCCCTTATGGTGACACCAATTGGAATGTCCTATGAATGTGAAGCCACCGAAAGGATCAGTCTAACCTCTACTGATCAAAAAAAAACTGTGACTTTGTTCCTCTCTAATGTACACATTCAGCCATTTGATATCCAGAGAGATTTTGTCTACAGCGAAGGTACAGTATTTTATAGTACTATGAATGTCATCAATCTTTTTCATTGAGCCTGTTCGATTCTGTTCCTATGCCTTGTATACGAAATACAGACTATTCAATATTTTTAATTTAGGATTTATTATGATAGTAATGTCATTAATCTAGGTAAAACACAATGTAAGTGAAGAAGCTAATTTACATGTTTTCCAAAACAATTAACATATGAAAACTGAAATCTTTTCATCCCATTGTTGCAACCATCTAAATAGGTTCTTGTTCAATCAAGTGCTACGAAAAGTCTAATAATTCATTGGATGGAAATCACTTGGGTCCACTTAATGCCTCGTGTGATTTTCAAGTAAATGCTCTTTATGCAATTGTTGATTAGGTTTTGTAATGTATCTTAATGAACACTATCACAAAGATCTAAACAAATAGAGTATAAAGTTGACAAGAAAAAGCAATAATGTTTATGTTACAATGAGAAAAATTACCGAAGGGAGAAAAAATATTCCAAGCCGTAAATGATCAGAGCATCATTACATTAATTTTCAAATAGCAGGAACAGTATGGCACAAAAAAGGACTTGACTGAAAATTTTGTAAACTGGAATTCAATGACCAGGTCGATAGGACATTGATCATATCCCAGAGAGAGTCATTGGATGGAGCTAGACTGGCTGAGACTGGAGAAATAGTCTATGGGACAGCTATAGCCAATATGCTGATAGATGGTGATGCATCTTTGATAGTGTTTAAGCAGTGGCAGAACTACCGCTGGTGTAGCTGCATCAGGGTCTGCATGATTAGGGGGCCCCTCGGTGTTGCTGAACAAGAGGTGTCAATCAGGTGCTGCAACCTTTTAACAGCAAAACAGGCCCCTGTAATCTTAGTAGCCTGGGAGGTAGCGAGAGCAGGTCACTGCCTCCCAGCTACATAGAGAGCACTATGCCCTACACTACACTCAGACTCAGCCAGCAGCAAGACCTCAGGGAAGCCCCCTGTGCACATAAATTATATGTTAGGAGACTGGATAAAAATATAGGAATTATGATATGTGTGCCTATCTATATGTATTTGTCAGTGTGTATCTGCATATCAGTCTGTGCATGTGTCAGTGTGTGTATCTATGTGTATGTCACTGTGTTTATATGTGTGTGTCTGTGTGTTTATATCTATGCATCTGTGTATGTTGGTGAGTATATGTGTGTGTCTGTGTGTATGCATGCATCAGTTTGTGTCAGTGTATGTATCTGTATCACTGTGTTTATATGTGTGTGTCTATGTGTCAGTGTGTGTATATATGTGTATGTCAGTGAGGAAATGTGTGTGCCTGTGTGTATGTATGCATCAGTGTCTATTAGTGTGTGTGTGTGTGTGTCACTGTGTCAGGGTGTGTATCTGTGTGTATGTCAGTGTGTTTATATGTGTGTATCAGTGTGTGTGTGTGTGTGTCTAAGTATACGTCAGTGAGTATATGTGCGTGTCTAAGTGTATGCAAGCATCAATGTGTATCACTGTGTGTGCCAATGTGTCAGTGCATGTATCTGTGTGTGTGTCAATGCGTATCTGTGTAAATATGTACAGTATCTCACAAAAGTGAGTACATCCTTCACATTTTTGTAAATATTTTATTATATTTTTTCATGTGACAGCACTGAAGAAATGACACTCTGTTACAATGTAAAGTAGTAAGTGTACAGCCTGTATAACAGTGTAAATGTGACTCGTTAGTGTTACAAGGTCTCAGGTGTGAATGGGGAGCAGGTGTGCTAAATTTGGTGTTATCGCTCTCACACTCTCTTATACTGGTCAGTATTGTTGCTCTACATAAAGATGACCTAGACTATAAGAAGATTGCCAAGACCCTGAAACTGAGCTGCAGCACTGTGGGCAAGACCATACAGTGGTTTTATAGGACAGGTTCCACTCAGAACAGGCCTCGCCATGGTCGACCAAAGAAGTTGAGTGCACATGCTCAGCATCATATTCAGAGATTGTCTTTGGGAAATAGACATATGACTGCTGGCAGCATTGCTGCAGAGGTTGGAGGGGTTAGGGGTCAGCCTGTAAGTGCTCAGACCATACGCCGCACACTGCATCAAATTGGTCTGCATGACTGGGGTCCCAGAAGGAAGCCTCTTCTAAAAATGAAGCACAAGAAAGCCCGCAAATAGTTTGCTGAAGACAAGCAGTCTAAGGACATAGATTACTGGAACCATGTCCTGTGGTCCAATGAGACCAAGATAAACTTATTTGGTTTTAGATGGTGTCAAGCGTGTGTGGCGGCAACCAGGTGAGGAGTACAGACAAGTGCACCACAAGTCAAGCATGGTGTTGGTAGTGTCATGGTCTGGGCCTACAAGAGTGCTGCCGGCACTGGGGAGCTACAGTTCATTGAGGTGACCATGAATACCAACATGTACTTCGACATACTGAACTAGAGCATGATCCTCTCCTTTCGGAGACTGGGCTGCAAGGCAGTATTCCGACAAGATAACTACCCCAAACACCCCAAACACACCTTCTAGATGACCACTGATTTGCAAAAGAAGCTGAATGTAAAGGTGATGGACTGGCCAAGCATGTCTCCAGGATTACCCTATTAATCATCTGTGGGGCATCCACAAAGGGAAGGTGGGGGAGCGCATGGTCTCTAAAATCCACCAGCTCTTTGATGTCATTATGAAGGAGTGGAAGAGGACTCCAATGGCAACCTGTGAAGCTCTGGTGGACTCCATGCCCATGAGGGTTAAGGCAGTGCTGGAAAATAATGGTGGCCACACAAAATATTCACACTTTAGGCCCAATTTGGACATTTCCCCTTAGAATGTACTCACTTTTGTCGCCAAGGGCTTAGACATTAATGGCCGTGTGTTGAGTTATTTTGAGGGGACAGCAAATTTACACTGTTATACAGGCTGTACAGTTACTACTTTACATTGTAGCAGAGTGTAATTTCTTCAGTGTTGTCACATTAAAAAATATAATAAAATATTTACAAAAATGTGAGGGGTGTACTCAGTTTTGTGAGATACTGTATGTGTGCGTAAATGAGCATACATGCCAGCAATCAAATGGCAATACTACATGCAAAAACACTCATGAAATCAAATGCCAACATTATATCCAAATGTATCCCTTCATCCAAACACCAATATTACATATAAATGTACACACGCATTCAAAAGCTAACAATACATACAAACACACCCCTTTATTCAAACACAAACATTACATAGAGGTACACCACTGCATTCCAATAACAACAGTACATATTAATAAACCCCTACATGCACACACATATACTCAATACAAAAACATGATTACATTCAAACGCACAAGCACTGCTCACAACTGCTGCAAGGATGGACTCATGGTAGGTCCCTAGCTTACATTGCATTGTGGGAACTGTATGACTGTTGGGAATCTCGCACTGGAGGGGGACTCAAAAAAGATTCTTGCACCAGGGCCCTCTTCCACCACTGTGTTTAAGATAGCGGTGTAGTACTTTGATAGTGTTTTAGATATGTGGTGGTGTTTTTTTTTTAAAGTGTTCTACACATGTGGTGTAGTGCTTTCATAGTATTTTATAAACGGGGTGTAGTGCTTTCATAGTATTTTATATATGGGGTGTAGTGTTTTGATAGTGTTTATTATATGGTATATGGATGGGGTGTAGTGTTTTGATACTGGTTTAGATATGGGGTGTAATGTTTTGATAGTGTGTTAGATATGGGATGTAATCTTTTGATACTGGTTTAGATATGGGGTGTAATGTTTTGATACTGGTTTAGATATAGAGTGTAGTGTTTTGATACTGGTTTAGATAAGCAGTGTCCTTTTTTTGATAGTATTTTAAATATGCAATATTGTTTTGTGATAGTATTTTAGATAAGCAGTGTAGTTTTTTGATAGTATTTTCCATTGATAGTGGTTTATGTAAGGAGTGTGGTGCTTTGATAGTGGTTTATGTAAGGACTCTGGTTTCTTTGATAGTGGTTTATGTAAGGAGTGTGGTTTCTTTGATAGTTGTTGTTACTCCTGTGTCTGTCTCCCTCCAAGTCCACGGTGCTACCATCAGCTCCACCATGCAGGCTCGCTGCCTAGGTGTTCTCTTTGTCTCCGACCTCTCCTTCAAGCCTCATGTTCAGTATATCGCCAAATCCTGCCATTTCCATCTCAAAAACATTGCGTGCATCTGCCCCTACTTAACGCCTGATGCGACTAAGGTGCTGGTCCATTCCACTGTCCTTTTTCGCCTTGACTACTGTAATCCGCTTCTCAGTGGTCTTACGTGCTCCCAACTTGCACCATTACAGTCCATAATGAATGCGGGGGCGAGACTCATCTTCCTGTCCACCCGCACCTCCCACGCCTCACCCTTCTGTCAGTCCCTACATTGGCTTCCTATAAGATATAGAGCTCAATTTAAAATTCTGGTTCTTGCTTTCAAATTTCTACTTAATGCTGCTCCCACCTATCTATCCTCCCTTATACATAAGTATGTCCCGTCTGGGCCCTTACGATCTGCTGAAGACTTACGTCTATCTTCTGTCCGTACTCCCACCTCTGATGCTTGCCTTCAAGATTTCTCGAGGGCTGCACTGTTCCTGTGGAACTCACTTCCCTCCTCCGTTAGATGCTCACCCAGTCTCCACTCCTTCAAAAAATCTTTAAAAACCCACTTCTTTATAAAAGCATATCAATTGAACTGTTAATAGCTCCCGACTGATTCCTCTTCTGCAACTGTCACTAGTCTAATACTATCCTTACCTTTTTGTGTCATTTTACCCCACTCCCTCTAGCATGTAAGCTCATTGAGCAGGGCCCTTAACCCCTCTGTTCCTGTGTGTCCAACTTGTCTGGTTACAACTACATGTCTGTTCGTCCACCCATTGTAAAGCGCTGCGGAATTTGATGGTGCTATATAAATAACATAATAATAATTATCATAATAGTGGTTTATGTAATGAGTGTGGTACGTTGATAGAGGTTTATGTAAGGAGTGTGGTTTATCTGATAGTGGTTTATGTAATGAGTGTAGTCCTTTTTGTATTTGAGGTCGGGATGACCCAATCTTAACTCATGAGTATGTTATTAATTCTGAGTACCTCCATGTGGTAAGCACCAAGGTCTCACTTTATGTGTGGCATAATTATCCTGGGAATTGGTTAATGTATCGTCCAGGTGGAAACAAGAATCCAGTTGCTTAACAAGTGACACAAATTTGAGCGTAACCAAACTTTTTTAAAAAGTAATTATTGTCCTCTTCTGCATCCAGTTAGTGATAATGCATAGCTTGCACTATTAATGGTAGCATGAAATATGCATGTATCTTGTGTGCAAGTTCTCAGCTTTTGTCAAAGCAGGGCTAGCGTAAGGTGTTGTCCACATATAAGGGTCCTATTTGGTACACAGACTAAAAAAATGTAAATTACATTTATTGCTTTTAAACCTTGTTGCCTGGACAGCGCCTTTCTTGGTGATCCCAAAATGGACAAATGCAACAGTGATCAATCGGTCTATCCGTCATATGTTTACATTGTACATCTTGGAGCATCTACTGCATTACATTGTCCGGATATTCTAGATAAAGTATGCATTATAAAGAAACTAGGATCTGCAAAGGATTCATGTAACTTATTTTAAAAATAACCTGTGTGTCACGGTTCCCGGCATTTCTGCTTAGTTTGAGTGCAGCCACGCCGTCAGAGATGTTTTTAACTTACCTTGGGCTCGGCGGGCAGCTACCTGGGCTCCCTCCATTCCGGTCCCCAGCGGGTGCAACATTCATAGGGATGCTGGCCCCTGCAGATCTGACTTTTATAAGAAACTTACCTTCATTCACCTCAAATATGGCGCCGACGTGCGTGCAGCTTCACGTCATAGATGCACACTCATGTTTTGGGGTCAGAAGTCCGAGACAGCCAATTACAGCCTAAGGAGGGTTATTTAAACACAAATTACCTTTTTGACAGTGCTCTGTCATGGTTTCCACTAGCTGGTTATCTGAGAGTGTGTTTCTGATGGCCTTTTTCTGGTATTTGACTTTGGCTTCGTTTTGACTTCCCTAATTTCTGGTATCCTAGACTTCTGGCTTTCCTCATCGTTGTGTCTCATTCTGTGTCCCTGACCTCGGCAAGTATTTTGACTATTCTGCGGTATGTTAAGTCCGGACATTATAAGGTCCAGTTAGACGTTATCCTTAGTCCTAGGTGTGATACTATTCTGCGTTCTGGATCAACTATAATCCTGACACTGTGGAACAGAAACAACCTTCAAAATATTTTATAAAATTGTCCTCGTGATGTAGGTAAATGTGTAGGTGAATAATCCAAAACCAGAAAGCAGTGTTGCACTGATACTTAATGTACAGCAATATTTCAGGAAAAACATGTCTACTAAAAGGAAATTTAAAAAACATATAGTGCAGACCATCTGATATAATTTAAGTAAGGAGCATACACAAAATAGACATATGTAGAGAACACACACATGTCCCATAACCCTATCAACTGTTTCTCTGGGTAACTGAGGCTTCTTGGAGAGAACAAATCCCATGAATTGATATCCAGAATGGCAGTAAAATCTTCTTATTAAAAATTGCACAGTATAGGAGACACAAGCAGGGACAGGAACCCCCAATGGCACAGTATACCAAATGATTTATTAGCACACAGATAAAATTATGCGTACTTGCATAAAAGTGGGTATGCACAGCAGAAAATCCACATAAATTCTAAAAGTCTCTTCTCCAATATTAAAATAAAACAGCAATTCAAAAATAAAACACCTTATACTTAAAAAATATTCTTATAAAACATAATATACATATAGAAATATATATCTTACAGAACTGTAAAATCATCCAAAGTAATGCTGTTTAAAAGAGTGTATTTTATATATATTTACATATATTTCTAACCACTCTATTTACAAATGGTGACTTATAGGGGATTATAGTCTGTGTTTACAAATAATAAAATATTACCCACAAGTAAGCTTATTTAAAAAAAAAGAGAGAGAGAGTTCACATTTTCCATACCAAAAAAGGAAAAATGAAAAATCCCAATTTAATTTTATTGGCATCATGAGGTGGCAGAGCCAGGAACCGGAGCTATCGGAACACAGGAATCACTTTCTTGTTTACTAGCGTTTTTAAAAGACTTTAGTGTTTATGTGGGTTTTCTGCTGTGTATACACACTTTTATGCAAGTACGCATCATTTTATCTGTGTGCTAATAAAACATTTATTTTACTGTGCAGTTGGGAGTTACTGTCCCTGGTTGTGTCTCCTATACTGTGCAATTCTAAATAAGATTTTATATTTTCTCTTGTAAGCTTTTTTTCTGACATATATTGTTTGTTAAATATCAGCACGACACTGTTTTCTGGTTTTGCATTGTACTCACTGTGTGGGTGAGTGCTGCTGGAGGGGGTACACACTTTCTAGTTAATGTAGGTGAATAAGTTTGGCCTTATTTATTTCACAAAGCTAATAATCAGCATACAGATATTATCTCGGACACCCCATCGGTCTGAGAATAGAATTCTTTCTTATCTCCTGGTTGTCTGTTTGTCACTGTTAGTGCATACATTATACTTATCTCACATTACATGATTAAATATGCAAGCTGGGAGCAAGCTAGTGGCAGTGGCATATATATTCTTACGAACAGAAGGTTTATAATCCAAAGCTACATTAGTAAAATCATTTTTATACACGCTGGTGGAGAGTCCTTTATAATTGCATTTGTAGTAAACCTTTTATCCTATAAATACACAATGAGATTTTATTAAATCCTTAATAAGTGATGATAATCACAACATTCCAACCAAGAAAGGCCGCAGGTGTAGAAAAAGAGAGAACAACAGAAGTAGTGCATGATTTGTTTAAATAGTTACCAACACAAAGTTGAAAAGTTCTAAAATTGGAGCAATCACCATTGAAACCAGAAGAATCAGCAGGAACAATCAGTTGTTTTTCAACGTTATTGCTCCACTTTTATAGATCTGTCCCTCATTTCTGTTAGCGACACATTTAACATTTTCTCTAACTGACTAAAGTCAATTGAAATTTCAACACAAGAGGAATATATCATGAGACAAAATAGCAACTGATATGTCTTGAACAGCTATTTTTTGATATGATACACAACAGATTCTTATTACGGCTGCAAAAGAAGATCATCTGGGCTTCATGCAAGCATATCTTACTTTATCACCTTGGTGGGTCCTCTTAAAAAAAATGCAAAGACCCTAAAAGTGACAATGCCACTTTAACAACCAAGATTGAATTGTTTTTTGCAATACAACTGTAGGTGTAGAAAAGTCTTTAAGAGGCCAGCAATGACCCTGCAAGAAATCTAGCATATAAATAAATGCTGTAGATTCTTTGTCAAATCTGTGCCTTCTGATATTTATTTATAAAATATTTTACCAGGAAAGATACATTGAGATTTCTATCATTTTCAAGTATGTCCTGGGTCCACAAAACATTGCATTGTTACATTAGGGTACAATAAAATAAAAAAACAATATTAATACACAATATATACAAAATTTAACATAGAACAGGTAGGAAATATATAATCAATCATGATAGGGGCATTCTGTTTTGAGATATGTAGAGAGGGATCTCTTAAAGGACTTTAGGCTTGGAGAAGATTTGAAAGTGTGCGGGAGGTCGTTCCACAATTGCGGTGCTCTGTAGGAGGAGGAGGAGGATCTGGGTGCTTTCTTTTTGTATTGAGGTAGACTAAATAATCAGTTTTGGCAAATAGACTAAGGGGATTAATGGAGCATATAATCAAAAATGATCAAATTGGTTTCGTACAAGGTAGAGATCCGGTAGATAATTCTAGAAGATTACTGGATCTGATAGATGCATCTGGAAGAAATAATAAACCTTTATTTGTATTGGCTGTAGATGCCGAGAAAGCTTTCGACAGGGTCGGTTGGGATTTTTTAAGGATAACTATGGAAAAATTTGGAATCCAGGGTAGGATGCTTAATGCTATTTTAGCTCTATACGAAGGTCCAAAAGCAAGAACAGTGGCTCCAAATATATGTTCAGAGTGGTTTACATTAAAAAATGGCACGAGACAGGGTTGTCCTCTGTCGCCTATATTATATATTATGACAATGGAGATTTTAGCTACCAATATTAGAGATAACCCTCGAATTAAAGGATTTAGATACAGAGAGACAGAATTTAAATTGAATCTATATGCGGATGACTTGATTTTGACCCTAACCGACCCTGTCGAATCGCTTAGTGCCTTAATGGAAGAGATAGACAAATACAGTTTGATTTCAAATTATAAAATAAATACAACGAAGTCTACTTTTTTAGCTATAAATATTTCTAGAGACTCTATCCAACAGATTAAAAATAAATATAAATTTAACTGTGATAAAAACAGGTTATCCTATTTAGGTATAGTGATTTCTGATGATTCAAAAGATACGGTACAAACAAATTTCTTGAAAACATTTAGATCGACACATGAGTCACTAAAAAGATGGAGACAAACTGAATTATCTTGGTGGGGTAGAATCAATTTGGTAAACTCGTACTTACTCCCTAAATGGTCCTACTTATTTCGCATGATCCCTTTGAGAATGCCACAACCATGGTTATCTATGATACAACGAGACATAAACAATTTTATATGGAAAGGAAAAAGGCCGAGGATGAATAAGCATCTTTTGATGCAGAAGAGTAGGAAAGGAGGGATAAATTTCCCAAATGTCAACATAATCTACTTAGCTAATATGATGTTTCATATATATAAGACACAATTATTAAGTTCAGAGGAAGCTGGATGGTACCAATTAGAAATGGAGATGGTAGAAATGGAAAATTTGATATGGTTAACTAATCAAGACGAAAGGATTAAAAAGGCCTGTACTCTTAATAATTGCTTGAAATCCATTCTAATGGAGTGGGAAAAGCTTAGGATTAATAGCGGAATCCGCAATAAAATATTGGGAAACTTTAACCTCAGTATTATACAACTAAGGATGAAAGATTTAAATATTAGTGAATGGACAAGGAGAGGTATTGTTTATATAAATCAAATAATAACGGGAGATAAAATTAAATCTTTCGAAAATCTGATAAAAGAATTTTCATTATCTAGGAAAGAGTGGTATAATTATCTAAGAATCAGAAGCTTTATTAAACAGTTTTTATTACACCGACCTACAGCGGGTATAGAAAACCTGATAGTTTTATTAAGAAATGAGAGGGTAACGCAAATAGTCTCAAAGGCAAGGACTGTTCTTCTTCAACTCGAAGCACCAAATTTGAATGTAAATATTCAAAAATGGAGTAAAGAGTTAAATGTACAGATTCTAAAGTCTGAATGGGACCAAGTATTATACCAAACAAGTAAAATAATCCATTGTTTGAATCTTCTTGAGGTATTATTTAAATTAATGAACCGCTGGTATTTAGTTCCCACCAGACTGTCCAAAATGTACACTTCTAATTCCCCACTGTGTTGGAGATGCAATGACAAAGAGGGGACTTTTGGACATATATGGTGGGACTGTAGTAAGGTAAAAATTCTGTGGTTTATGGCTTTTGAGTCATTGGAGTATATTACAGAAACAAAAATCCCTAGAGGCCACCAGAATGGTCTATTTCACTTAAATCTGCAATCACTCCTCTTTAAGAACAAATTTATATATGTCCATTTTGTAGCAGCAATAAAAATAATAATCGCAAGGAATTGGAAGAGTAGCGCAAATTTTACGCATGCTCAGTTGTATTCACAAGTCCAATATCAATTAACCATGGAAGCCTTGGGATACCAGTCAATAAAAATTAGAGATGTTAGCAATTTCTGGAAAGAAAAAATGGAGAGTCTGATTAGATAAAACCCTGGACAAAATTAATAGAATAATGTGCGTTTTTTCATCTTTTCCTTTCCATTTCCTTTAAGGTAGTAAGATAGAGGTGCCACTGTATTACCCCAAGTAGAGTCTGCAATACAAGTCTGTTTTTGTATGTTTGTTAAGTACATCATACTAATGAATCCTAGTAAAGCCAACTACTTAATAAAATTAATAATAGATAGTGAAGAAGGATGACTATTATGGGAGACGAAACTTTAATCTTAGAAGGACGGTTGGACGGAAATTTTTGTCATGCCCATTGTTTTTGTTATTTTGGTATATGGATTTGTTTAAAGAATATAATATAATTTAGTAAAGAAATAAGTAACAATAGTGTAAACACATGATAATGAGCAATATTTAATATATATGTATATATGTAATACTACATGTCCTATTTAATTAGTGCTAAATGTTTACATTTGCTAATGTTTTTCTATATTAGTATGGATGTTGCTAATGTTTCGTATGTTTTTGTAAAGGAAAATTGAAATAAATAAATTATGTCAAAAAAAAGAGGTAGACTAAATAAAGTGCAGATACTGGATCGGAGGGTATAGGAGGTGGGAACAGCCGGGGAGAGCATTCTACTCAGGTAGGGTGGGAGCTTCCCAGAAAAGCTCTTAAACACGAGGCTGGAAAGATGAAGGGTGCGTCTGGATTCCAGCGACAGTCAGTTTAGTTATTTTAGAATGTCACAATGGTGGGTCATGTAATTACATTGTAGCACAAAGCTGCAGCATGAGTTATACAATGTGTTGAGTTTATTAATGTGTAATTGCGGTGCAGGTGCATATACTGCATCCCCATAATCAATGATTGGCATCCGCATTTGCTGTACAATCTTTTCCTTTACTGTAGGGCTGATATATTGTTGCGGATACCTGTGTTCCAGTATGTGTCTAAACAGGTCATCATGGCAACTACTTATTAACGTTCCCTACCAGGGATGGGAATCCACTGCAGCACAATGTGGATCCAGAGATTACTACTTCTATCATACAGTGCAGGCTGATTTTCTGAATTGTTTCTCAGCCAACATCACAGTAAATACATCACGGTAATATACTAAACAGGGATTTGTAGCTTGGCACTAAACAGAAATCTAATGCTCCCAGTTTAGTGAATTCACCAATATTTTGTAATTCTAAAAAGCACCTTGAGGTATTTAACACAAACAAATGATAATTTCCTATAAAAATGAAAGAGACCAGGACCATCCACCTGACATAGTGTGTTATTTGTATTAGCATGTACCTACCATAGTTATTGCCTTGTGAATTTTTACAGTTCTTTTAAAGGAACACTATACAGTCAGCTACACACACATATATTCCTGACCCTACAGTGTTAAAATCACTATCTAGCCCCCTGGCCTCCCTAAATATAGAAACATCTTACATTTATTCAAGTCTGCTGCTGCTGGCTCTGCTCCTGATCTGCCTCCTTAGCTGACATCATCAGAAGTGGTGATCCCAGCCAATCACAATGATTTTCCATAGAAAAGCATTGGATTGACTGAGATTGCCAAGGATGTGGACCAGGGGCAGTGTCAAACACAGCCCTGGCCAATCAGCATCTCCTCATAGAGATGCATTGAATCAATGCATCTCCATGAGGAAAGTTCAGTGTCTCCATGTAGAGGGTGGAGACATTGAATGTCAGTCACACTGTGCTGCACATTCCCAGAAGCCATCTGAGGAGTGGCCAGTGGCGTTATCACAAGGCTGTAATGTAAACACTGCCTGTCTGTCTGAAGAGACAGTGTTTACTGCAAAAAGCCTGCAGGGACTGACTATACTCACCAGAACCATACATTAAGCTGTAGTTGTTCTGGTGACTATAGTGTCCCTTTAATGCTGACTATGACCATTGTAACCAGCATTAAAGATGACAAAGCCTATTTAATGCTAACAAGTGAAAATCCAAAGAGAATTTCAATTTGAAAGAAAAAATAGCCAAAATGGACTGCACATGTATATATGTATGTGTGTATGTATGTATGTATGTATGTATGTATGCATGTATGTATGTGTGTATGTATGTGTGTATGTATGTATGTATGTGTGTATGTATGCATGTATGTATGTATGTATGTGTGTATGTGTGTATGTATGTATATCCATTTAAAAAGAATGGCATTTGATTTAAATCATTTGAATCAACGTCAGAAATGATTCCATTTTGTTAGGAAAAAAAACATGTTACATCTGCATCTACAGAAGTCATCATTAAAGTATATGAGAATTATTCTACATAAACCATTTCAAATGTTTCTTTCTAACAAAATTGAACAATTTCTGATGCAGGTTCCAACAAATGAAATCAAGTTAGAAGTGGTTAGGGCGGATTACGGTTAGAGACGGATTAATGCCAGAGTTAGATTGCATAGGATATTTAGCGTTAAGAGAATTTAAAATTTGAGAAGGGTTGAAATTGCACTGCAAGGGGTATTTTGCATTTATTTTTTGGGTACAAGTGTTTCGGATTGTTGAGTTGAGAGTTAGAGTTGGGTTACATTTAGTATTGAGTACATAGGGTGCTTAATGTTTAAATAAGTTAAACCTGGGATTAAGGTAAAGCTTTTTTCAGGTTTAGGTTTAAATTTAGGACTAATGAAAGGGTTTGTTTTTTTGTTTTTGGAGTGGTTAAATTGAGGTTTAGGGAAACATTTGGTGATTATCATACAGGTATGTGGTGTACTCCCCATGATTGATATTAGAGCTGCAGGAGCTGTTATACAGTGTGCATCACTCAGGGCTGTCCCTGCTCCTTCTGCAATAATTTACTGTGTGAGAGGCTGCCAGTGGGCAGATGGGAAGTGATCCCTTCTACTTCTTGTCCAGCCTCACACACAGACACTGGAGGAGGTGGGACAGTTTTTTTTTACGCCCTCTATAAGTATTCCTGGAGATCTGCTATCAAGCATAGGAGGCTGAATGGACTCTGACCAAGGCTCCTGGTATTTAAATCTCCTTAACAGCCTACTTAAAGGACCACTATAGTGCCAGGAAAACATACTCTGGGCGGGGAGCTCTCCTCCTCCGATCCTCCTCCTCTCCTCCCCGTCGGATGAATGCGCACGCGCAGCAAGAGCTGCGCGCGCATTCAGCCGGTCTCATAGGAAAGCATTATCAATGCTTTCCTATGGATGCTTGTGTGCTCTCACTGTGATTTTCACAGTGAGAATCACGCAAGCACCTCTAGCGGCTGTCAATGAGACAGCCGCTAGAGTCTTTGGGGGAAGGCTTAACCCATTCATAAACATAGCAGTTTCTCTGAAACTACTATGTTTATAAAATAATGGGTTAATCCTAGAAGGACCTGGCACCCAGACCACTTCATTAAGCTGAAGTGGTCTGGGTGCCTAGAGTGGTCCTTTAAGTTTAAAAAAATTCACATTATGAGTGTTTAAAACAGGTGCCCCGTACAGGAGATGTGCATGTGAACACTGTTCCATTAAATATATTAATCTGTGATGTTACTAGAGGCGTTCAATGTAAGCAGGCCTTCAATGACATCAAAATATATCACAGGCTTCCAACTTCAGGAAAAGCTGAACTAAATTCGAGGAATCAGGAGCTTAATACTACTAAATGCTAAATTATGCATTTAGGACATGCACAGAAAAACATGATAGACAAGCTTTTAATTCTTCATGGAATCATTTAAATCCACATACTTGGAATCAAATCATTAAATTGATACCGATAGGCATAAATATCACTAAAATTATTAAGGGATTCACCAATATTTAGGGTATGGCCAAGGTTATATAACAAATTTTGCAACAGACAAGAAATTGAAAAACTAATCAGGCGATCAGCGAGGCAAATTAAATGATTAAAGCGGTTCCGGATTCAGATACTTTACAAGCAGTCCCGTCCGTATTATTTCAGATCTCAAAACAGTTATCAGAGTCATGGCTACTTTTTGCAGTGTACAGACAGGAACTTAAAGGACAACTGTTACTTCCAAACTATTTCTAATATTATAGTGTATTTTCTTTAATTATTGAAAGGAAATATATATTTTTTAATGAAGTATATGTAAAAGAATATGAAACACCCATCCCTACCTTTCATATATGATAGGATCCTTCAGCCATATACATGTACCGTGGGTCAGATGAAAGGATTGTTATAATAAAAAAAATTTCAGGTGACAGATGTCTTTTAAAAGGACACTCCACTGGCCAAATATTTTTTTTAAATAACTGTTTAGTAGATATTCCATCAATGAAAACATGCATACATTTAATTATGCAATTAAAAAACAGGTTGCAAAAACTGCAATTCTCTTGTCCGCAATCTTTGCAAACCCTTCCCTTCTAACTCCGCCCCAAACTTTCTGTGTCTGTCCAATCAGAGACTTCCCAATGCAGCTCAATGAGAAGTCTTTGCAAGGCAGGTGCTCTGAGCAATTGCTGCCTCTTGAGTTTAGCTCCACTAAGCTAACCAAACCAGGAAGTATCAGGACCTGTCGTCTGTTTGAAATGCAGGGGGTGTAACAAGGTTAATTTATAAAAATGCCAATTTATGTTGATATCTCCACTTTTTGTAAAATAAAAAAAGGCACTCTTCACACATAAAGCCCTTCAGCAAGCTGAAGTGTTTTGAGGGTCTGGAGTGTTACTTTAACTGATAGTGAACAGATTTGTGTTGCCCTTATTTACTTACATCTCATCTCACAAATCTTGCACTTAAAAAGCCTCATTCTCATTCTACAGCAGCACAGAGCCCCTCCCTGACAATGAAGTGGTTCCTCCTATCAGTAGCCTTTCATTTTGGTCTACGAAGCCTATCATGTCCCATGACATATCCTGTCAATCAGGGATTTATGGAATATGTAATTTAACCATAGTAGTAGGTACACTCATTTTTACACATAGTTAATGGGATGTAAACTAAAAACCTGAATTTTACTTTTGTTGTCACTGTTTATGACATAATCTTGAGACTGATATGCCAAGAAAGATTACTGACATATGGCATTTGTTCCTTTAAGCATATTCAGAGTGGACATTGTGGCTGTAGTGGACATGTGTATTTCTTGTGTTATATTGTTAATTTAATTGTATTGAGTATCTGCTCGGTGCGGCCAATGAGAGATCCGTGGGAGCTGAGCTGATGACATGACCTCACCTATACAGCCATTTGCTATCCTCTTATAAAGCAATTGGATATGGGGTGCTGTGATGAGTACGTAGGCCTCGATTTAATAAGCTTTCCAAAGGATTCTATGGTGTTAGAAAAACACTCCAAACTATTTCTCTACACCATAGTCTTTAATAGTGATATATTGTGACGTTTTTCTAACAGTATTGAATCTTTTGGAAAGCCTATTAAATAGAGGTTCCTTACTCGGAATACATCTTTTAAAGGTAAAGGAACAGGGTTTGCTACAGAAACCTGCAAGACCTTTTTCTTTTGATGTTTAAATATGAATAAAAATATGGCATGAGTCTGTTCTAATGTTGTATGTTTGCAAGCTCTGTAAAATGTCTCCTTCAATTTATAAGAGTTACAAAAAAAAGAAAATGATGTAAAAGAAGGAGAAAATATTTGTACATTCTGATTTTATTCTGTAATTCCAGATTACAAATGCCCAACAGATCAGAGCAAACAGCTGGAGGAAATGTTGCCCCTTATTCTGGGTATAACCTTGGGACTGGCTATCGTAATTATCCTCGCTGTGTATCACATTCATCACAAGATGACAGCTAACCAAGTTCAAATTCCTCGGGACAGATCTCTGTATAAACACATGGGATAAACAGACTGATTAAATGCAGGGCACATTAACTCATCAGGTAGATAAAACTAATGCACTTTCCCTATCATCACGTCCGCTTCTCTGCCCATGATCCATGTATCAGAAAGTATTTGTCCCAGCCAGAATCTGAGGGCATTTACACATCAATGCTAGTACTGTGCTTTAAACCATAGTGTAGTTGCTGAGCTCAATCCCTGTGCTACAAAACACAATCTTTAAATCTTTGGACTCCGGTATTTTACTTACTGATTTTAAAGAGAAATTATGTAATAAAGCACAATTATTATCCTGGATGTTTGGAAAAATAACAACAAAAAATTATATATAACAAAAACGCACATTAGCAGTTGTTGACTTTTCATGTATGACATAGAACCTATGCATGTGTAATATTTATATTACGATAAAAAGATATTCAAAGAATATTATATTATAATATAATATTATAATGTTAGGATTTAGTAACTATTTTATAAGGACAATTTAAAACATCCATATTGTCAACAATTTTTTCTACAATATGTAGGTACCAACTTAGCTAGGATATAAGTGTTAATTATTGCAGAATAAAATGGGCAGCTCTATAATGATAGGGTAACCAATATTTCGGAAATGGAAGTTGTTCCATTCAGAATAGCCAAGCATGCTGCATGATTTATTATAGTGTAATCCTGTACATTATCGACACAGTTTGAAATATGAAATCTGATTACTATGCACACCTCTCCCTTTATAAATGGTACTTGAATAAAATTGAAGAACTGGATCTGAGAAATAAAATAAATGAATTTTAATTATATAGTCTGCGTCCGACATATTCATTGTCAAGTTATTTTGTTTTCTTTTTTTAATAAGACATTTGCACTTTACATGTATACCTGCACATATTTGTTCTCAGAGCTGTAGGAAAATGACTGAGTACCCACTTGTGACAAACGCCACTGGAGATGTGGGTCTGCCAGCGGAGACCATTACTTATACTGGGGATCAAGCCAGCAGCTACAGCAACTGCAGCTGGGCTGGATCATGGAAGGGCTTGTTCTTGCAGGCAGGCATCGACCTCCCTGCCCACACCTCCATCTCTCTGCAGGTACCGACCCCTTTGCCCATGCTCCGACTCTCAGGCAGGTATTGACCCCACTGCCCATGCCTCCCTCATCCAGTAAGGTATTGACCCTCTGCCCTTGCTCTGTCTTCAAGGTAGGTAATGGCCCCTCTGCCCTTTCTCAGTCTCCCAGTCAGGTATTGACTCGCTCCTCCCAGTCATGTATTTACCCCCCTGCCCATGCTCCATCTCCAAAGCAGGTATGGATACCTCTGTCTGTCCTATTTCTCCCATGCAGGTATTGGCCCCTCTGCATATCCTGTTTCCTACTTCTACTTTTACAAAGGCAGTTGTGCCTCTTAAGACATTTGTTCTTTACATGTATATCGGCACATATTTGTCCTCAGTGCTGTAGGAAAATGCCTAAATATCCACGTGACGAAATGCCACCGAGGGATGTGGGTCTACCAGCAGATATTGTTATGGGGACCAGGGGTTAAGTCAGCAGCTACAGTGACCACAGTTGGCCTGGCTTCCAGAAAGGGTTGTTCTCCCAGGCAGTCCTTCTGCCCATACCTCCATCTCCCGGCAGATATCGGCCCCTCTGCCTATGCTCCATCTTACTGGCAGATTTTGACCCCTCTGCCCGTGCTCCGTCTCTCAGGCAGGTATTGACCCCTCTGCCCGTGCACTGTCTCCCAGTCAGGTATAGACCCTCTGCCCGTGCTCCTTACCTCAGGTAGGTATTGACCCCTATGAGTGTGCACCATCTCCCGGGCAGGTATTGACCCCTATGTCCGTGCTCCATCTCCCAGGCAGGTATTGACCCCTCTGCCCATGCTCCATCTCCCAGGCAGGTATTGACCCCTTTGCCCGTGCTCCATCTCCCAGGCAGGTATTGACCCCTCTGCTCGTGGTCCTTCTCTCAGGCAGGTATTGACCCCTTTGCCCATGCTCCATCTCCCAGGCAGGTATTGAACCCTCTGCCCATGCTCCATCTCCAAGGCAGGTATTGACCCCTCTGCCTGTGCTCCTTCTCTCAGGCAGGTATTGACCCCTCTGCCCATGCTCCGTCTCTCAGGTAGGTATTGACCCCTCTGCCCTTGCTCCGTCTCTCAGGCAGGTATCAACCCCCCTGCCATGCTCCATCTCTCAGGCAGGTATTGAACCCTCTGCCTGTGCTCCATCTCCCAGGCAGGTATGACCCCTCTGCCCATGCTCCATCTCTCAGGCAGGTATTGACCTCTCTGCTCGTGCTCCATCTCCCAGGCAGGTATTGACCCCTCTCCGTGGTCCAGCTGTCAGGCAGGTATTGACCCCTCTGCCCATGCTCCATCTCTCAGGCAGGTATTGACCCCTCTGCCCGTGCTCCTTCTCTCAGGCAGGTATTGACCCCTCTGCCTATGCTCCATCTCCCAGGCAGGCATTGACACCTCTGCTTGTGCTCCATCTCCCAGGCAGGGTTTTGACCCATCCGCCTGTGCTCCATCTCCCAGGCAGGTATTGACCCCTTTGCCCGTGCTCCTTCTCTCAGGCAGGTATTGACCCATCTGCCTGTGCTACATCTCCCAGGTAGATATTGGCCCCTCTGCCCATGCTCCATCTCCCAGGCAGATATTGACCTCTCTGCCTGTCCTGCTTCCTACTACTGACTTTACATTGGCACTTGTGGCTCTCAAGCCTAGCTCTTTTCTAACACATTCTCAGGACCAGTACTTAGTGCAGCCAGCAAGCAGGTCTGAAAACTCTGCCACTGGAATCCCTGAACAAACCAGGCAGGACACACAGTTCCCAATGGAACTAGCACACAATACTTTATTTGCAATCAATTTACACTCAGGACTAGCCCCTATCCCCATAATATTAAACTTATGGCAACACATTCAATCCAATCCAAATGGGGAATCATACATGTACTCATAAAATACAATACAATATTTATAAAGGGTGGAAAAAATTACAGCTAACAAGAAATATGTCCCCTGCCTATCTTAACATGCAAATTTACTAGCCGTGCTATTCAGTGCATATACTTGTTACAACAAACAGGTGGCCCAACAGGCCCCACAGCCAGACAGGGAATAACACAAGACATTGCCCAAATAACATTATGAAACACAACCTGCACCTATAATGGGCATAGGGTGAATTAAAAATAAGAGTAATGATGAGACGTGAAGTGTCAGACACATGCTCCTAATGGTGTGTCTACCATCACACCATTTCCTATAAAACTGATTCAGAAATTATGCCATGGCATAAATTTAATAGCCTTGTGTTAATTTCCCAAAAACTAGTGAATGTCTTGGGGGTGGAAGTTTTAGTTCAATTGTCAAACTCTTAACTGTAGAAAGCTAAACTTAGAACTTTCAGACATCACGTGATGTACAGCTGTATTATTAGAGGAAATTGGGAAACACTGGAGGGAGAGGCTAAACAAGACAGACTTATCATTATTTAAGAATGAGTGAGTGTCTGGGTAAACCAATTGATGTATTTGTCTTTTTTTTAATCCCCAATTTCCAGCATTGCAGAAATAGCAATCATGCTTATTCATCAACTAAAATATGTGCTACAGAGTAAACAAACTATGCATGTGAATCCGGGAGCTTCTTTATCCGTCATCTTGAAATTTGAATTCATGGATAAACATGGAATTTAAATGATGGTTTTGAAATTTTAGTACATTCACATGATAGAGAGGTAAATCAGATATAAACAAGAGTGCCATTAGCCCAGTGTGCCCAGTAAGTGTGGCATTAGCCCAGAGTGCCCAGTAAGTGTGGCATTAGCCCAGAGTGTCCAGTAAGTGTGTCATTAGCCCAGTGTGCCCAGTAAGTGTGTCATTAGCCAAGAGTGTCCAGTAGGTGTACCATAAGCCCAATGTGCAAAGTACGTGTGCCATTAGCCCAGAGTGCCCAGTAAGAGTGCCATTAGCCCAGTTATCCAGTAAGTGTGCCATTAGCCAGTGTGCCCTTTAAGTGTGCTATTAGCCCATGGTGTCTAGTAAGTGTGCCATTAGCCCAATGTGCCCAGTAAGTGTGCCATTAGCCCAGAGTGTCCAGTAGGTGTGCCATTAGCACATGGTGTCCAGTAAGTGTGCCATTTGCCCAGAGTGTCCAGTAGGTGTACCATTAGCCCAATGTGCCCAGTAAGTGTGCCATTAGCCCAGAGTGTCCAGTAGGTGTGCCATTAGCACATGGTGTCCAGTAAGTGTGCCATTTGCCCAGAGTGTCCAGTAGGTGTACCATTAGCCCAATGTGCCCAGTAAGTGTGCCATTAGCCCAGAGTGTCCAGTAGGTGTGCCATTAGCACATGGTGTCCAGTAAGTGTGCCATTTGCCCAGAGTGTCCAGTAGGTGTACCATTAGCCCAATGTGCACAGTACGTGTGCCATTAGCCCAGAGTGCCCAGTAAAAGTGCCAGTAGCCCAGTTATCCAGTAAGTGTGCAATTAGCCAATGGTGTCTAGTAAGTGTGTCATTAGCCCAGTGTGCCCAGTAAGTGTGCCATTAGCTCAGAGTGTCCAGTAAGTGTGCCATTAGCCCAGTTATCCAGTAAGTGTGCCATTAGCCCATGGTGTCTAGTAAGTGGGCCATTAGTCAGTGTCCCGTAAGTGTGTCATTAGCCTAGAGTGTACAGTGAGTGTGCCATTAGCCCAGTTATCCATTAGGTGTGCCATTAGCCCAGAGTGTCCAGTAAGTGTGCCATTAGCCCGTGGTGTCCAGTAAGTGTGCCATTAGCACAGTTTGTGAGTAAGTGTGCCGTTAGTCCAAGGTATCTAGTAAGCGTGTCATTTTTTCAGGTATCCAGTAAGTGTGCCATTAGCCCAGTGTGCACAGTAAGTGTGCCATTAGCCTAGTGTGTCCAGTAAGTGTACGATTAGGCCAATGTGCTCAGTTAGTGTGCCAACAGCCCAGTGTTCCCAGTAAGAGTGCCAACAACCCAGTGTGTCCAGTAAATGTGTCAGTGTGCTTGTAAGTGTGCCATTAGCCAGTGTGCCATTGGCCCAGTGTGTCCAGTTAGTGGGCCATTTTTCCAGGTATCCAGTAAGTGTGCCATTAGCCATTGTGCCCAGTAGTTGTGCCAACAGCCCAGTGTGCCCTGCAAGTGTGCAATAAAGTCTTATGAGCCCATGGTCTCTACTAAGTGTGGCCTATCTGTGAGTGCTACGCTGTCAAGGTAAGAAAAATTAATGCCCTTTTGGCTCAAATTTACGGAAAAATGCTGCAATGGTTTTGGCACCAACATGTCACAGGTACTGCCTCTAAAATGCATGCTCCAGAAGATAAAACTCGAAATATCTTTACAAAAAACTATATATCCCATGAAAAGTCAGCATACATCAATTGAATCCCCTATGAATCCATTGAGAACTGTACTATGGCATTATCTTACCTTGGTCCACTGACGCTCAACCAACATCTTTAATAAGCTAACCAAAGGGAGTCCTTCCGGTCAGGGAAGAAGTAAGATCCTACGGGGCCCTAGGCAGGTTACCAGTTTGGGCTCCTTTCATTTTTTACATAGAGATGGATGTTGAGTTCAAGCAAACTCTTGGGTCTGGGACCATTGTCTAACCCCGAGTCCTAGGCAGCCGCCTAATGTCACCCTTTTCCTCATCTCTTTTACTATAAACTGGTGCCATCCCCTCCTGGTGGACCACTGTCAATTAAGGTCAGTATCCGAGGACTTAAAACATTACAGCTGCCAACCTTTACTACCTTGTAACCTCATATCCCAGCACCTGTTAGAG